TTATGCGGTGCGGTTTGGTGCGGTGTGGGCGGTTTGTGCGGTTTATGCGGTTTTTTGCACACCCCTACCTACCAACCATCACCAACTCCGGAATGAACATGACTATTCTTAAATACGATATTCTGGAATACACTTTTTCAGTCCAGAACGTACGTGTATCAGATTTTGGACTCGAAATCTACCAACAACCGCCCACTCCGGAATAAACCCACTTACTTCGGAATACTATATTCCAAAGTAAGTGGTCAATTTAAAAAATTTATAAAAAATAGGTTATTGTTATAAAATTATTCATTTATATAGAAAAGATTACTCAATTTCTCTTTTTGAGAAATTAAATATCTTCCTACAATTTCTTCCTATCCATGTCAAATGATAACATGTGTCCTATTTAATTTTTTTAATAATATTTTAATCAACTTGTCATCATTTAACATTGGTAGGAAGATAAGTAGGAGGATATTTAATTTCTCTTTTTATATTTAAAAAGGTTATCAAGTTTATAAAACAAAGCTTCTAGTTCTTAAAAAAAAATCGGAAAATGGTAAATTGCATACGTACTTTTTCTATATATATTATTAAAATATCTCGAACAATTAACTACACCACCAAATTTTGCTGGGTCAATGAATTTTACAAGCTGTAAAAATCAGTTGCGTCACTGCTTATGCAATCAATATAAAATCCAAAATTTTCAGAGGGTTGCTGATGTTATTCTTTTTTGGGAAAAGATAGGGTTGCTAAAGTTGTTCAAAGAACTCTAAACAAAATTTATGAATGTAGGGTCAAACTTTAAATGATTATTATTTTATTTTGGGACGAAAAATCATTAATTTTTAATTTTATATTAAATACTTTATAGACGAATGTCGTTTTTGAAAATTATAATGAAAACGACCGAATCTGTGCATTCATGTTATTTTATTAAAAAAGTTCTAAGATTCAAAAACATGGCCCAATATCTTTGACCAAGATTGGTACTAGTTTTATTTATTTATTTATTTATTTATTAATCCTATTGAGGTAGGGACGAGCTTCAAACCCGTAAACCCAGTTTGGAATCAAAACTTGTTAGAAACGGTATATGTTAAACTAGTTTGGACATCGCGTATCACTTTAAGCCTAAAACATGTATCATATATAGTGGGTCTGAGTTTAGTGAGTATGGGAGCCAACCCAATAGTTTAAAGGCCTCAAATAATAATAATAATAATAAATACCAAACAGGCCCTATACAAGTTAAAAGTACAAAACAACTATCATTACAAATAAAAAATAAAAATACAAAATATCACCTGATTACAAGTTAAAAATACAAAACAACCCCTATACAAGTTGAAAGTACCAAAGACTTATGGTTTTCTGTTTCTAAAACCTGAAACCCGGTTCTACCCTACCACTTTGACATTTCCGGTTCTAGACCCATTTTAGCTGGTCTCGTATCTGGAACAAGACTAGAATTGGTTCCTATATACCAGTCCGATTTTCAATTCTAACCACGTTTTCAGGTTTTCCGATTCGAGTCCATTTGGGTTGGGTTTGGACTCATTTTCACCTTTAATGAGAGGTGATATTTCTATTATGTTTTTGATTCATCAACTTAGCTTATTTGATTTTTATATTTCTCATTATTATTTTTATTTCAATTAGAATAAATATATAAAAGTCAAATCTATCTTATTTTTAAATATATAAATCAAAAATCTAAATGGAAATATCAACTTCCTTTTAATATGTTTGTAAAATTTTCTTTAAATAGTATTTGACAAAAGTTTAATGTTACATTTTAATAAATAAGTCATATGCCGTTTGGATATATTTTTATTAGGTCTTAACTAAGAAAATTTTCATAATGATATGAAAACATAATATTATGCAACTTGTTACTTTTTATGTCTATAAGGTGTAAAGCTACATTGGTTTTAACCAAGGTTCTAAAAGATCGACATGGTTTTATCATGGTTTCAAGGTTTGTATTTGATGTCATGTTTTAACAAAATGTCTCCTTAAGTCATATATGTATATAAAAATGAATAATATTAGAATATATATATAATTATTAACTATGTATAAAGTTGTTGTCTTAAGTCACGTTTTACAAACGATATGGTTACTCACGACTCGTAAAAGCTTGAGGTTTGACATTGTCATCCAGTCACACCTAACTTTATTTAGAACCTTAGATTTAACAAAGACTCAGGTTGTATATTATTAGAAATATTAGTTTTTATATTTTAAAATGTATTATTGTATTTTCAATGATTTCATTATTTGAGGATAGAAGGAGTTTGAGGATCATGGGTCACTTAAAAGTATATTGGGTTTGAATTTGAAGGTGTCACTAGGCCGATTACAACTATTCGACATATTACACTATCTTTGTGTTTTGTTGGCCAATAATATTTCAACTGTCCTTCAAATTTAGAATATTTGTGTTGGCATCAAATATGAAGGCCCCTAAACCCATCATTTTAGAGTTTGATTGAAATTTAAACGTCAAACAATCACCATTTTAAGCTTCTATTTATTATATTTAAGCTTCTATTTATTATATTTAATGATAGATGATTGATTATTAAAAAATAACAATTTTCATAGTATCATAGCAAAATCCTCTTTCCATACAATCTCTCTAAAATCTTAACTTTCTCTTCAACCTTAGTTGTCATCGACTCTCCTCTCATTATATCCTCCTCATAAGCTTCTTTACGTCTACATCACCATGACAAACTCTCTCAATCTTGATAGACACTATGGCATCACTTGTTTGGGGATTATAGGTTTTTCGTGTTAGTATGAATAAGACCTTTTAGGTCTCATCTCATTTATTCACGCTTTAAAATTGTGGCCTTCTCTGCTCTCTCTTTGCAATGTAGACTTCATGTTTTCTGAGTATTCGTTTTGTGTTTATCGGTTGTTACATTGTTGTTGGAATGAATGATAAATGCGTTAAATCTCAGGGTTCTATGGTGCAGTTTATAGCCATCAGAGCTCATAACAACTTTTAAGGACATGAGTTATTTCTTGTAGCTACTGTAAGGAATCTGCAACTTCCAGGTAGGGTTTTAACTTTTGTCTCATCTTTTTAATTCATCTGACAATGAGACAGTCTTCTTCTATATTTCTTACAATCATATATGATCGCGAATGATCAAATTGGTTTCTAGACAAAACTTAGTAATTAAATAATAATAATAGAATTTATTATTTGACACTAGCTATTCAATATTAGTTCACAATACTAATCACCAAATGGTTTGTCTATCAAGTTTGAAATACAACATCGCCAACTTCAAGTCATGTATTCCTCTTATCTTCGATTTGGATCGCTTGAATTATGATTCCATGACGTGAACTCTTTCAAACCTATTGCATAGGTTTTGGCTGACACTCCTTTTAGCCGACTGCGTTGCCAAAAATGGGGTGGGAATCAGGGAATTATACAAGTTGAAATCAACAACAAACTAATATAAGAACGAGTTGTTTTACATGTGCTGTCATCTATCTATCTTTCTAATCGGTATTTTATCACATTAAATCTATCATATTCATGTAAGGAATAAAAAAAAAAAGAGAGAGAATCAATAAAGGTCAACAAACTCAAAAAAAGCTCTTCATAATCCATGAAGATATACATATAGCTAAAATAACAGTTCAAATGGTCACTTAATCCTCATGGTAAAAAGTTTCCCTAAAAAGCTTATCCAGTTAGGTCCATCTAAGCAAACCAAACCAAACCAAACCATTAACCCAACAATTCCAAACTGGGCCCAACTCGTATACAACTATATTACCATAAAAAAACAAAAGCAAAAGATAAATTTTAACACCAACACCATACTCTCTTTTCATTTCCATTATGCAACATGATCACAAAATACAAACCAACATTAAAAAAGAAATAGCAACATTCCATATCAAAGTTTTCAAACAAACTTATTTCATTAATGCAACCTAGTCAACTCTTCTACTCTCTTCATAAGTTCCTCAACCGAAACACTCATAACCTTAGAAATCTCCTCCATTCTACTCCTTCCAAGATCAAGAAACGACTCAATCAAATCCCCATCCAAGAAATTCCTTGAATCCACAGTCTTCTTCTCACTATAAAACGACCTCCATTGTTCATGACTCAACCCCCCAACCCCTTTTATCACCTTCCTCAAATTCGTCTGAAGCCTCTCCATAAACACATACTGATCTTGAGGAAGCGAAGCAATAACACCAATCACACCATTCACAGTTCCAAAGATTATAGTCGGAATTTTCCCCACATCCGAATCAGGAAGACGCATCACAAGTGATCCATGTTGGAAGCGGTTCACAAATTCACCCAAATGATACTCACCCACCACTTCTAAACGCCCCCGTTCTTCATCCGTAGCTCCTTCGCTGTTTTTACGGACCGTAAAAAGGTTAAAGTTGTTTTCAGCTCCCAGGTAAATATCATCGTCCAAAATCTCAACCGCCGACATCCAATTCGCATTGTAGTCGCGGGCCCGCTCCTCTATCGCACCTTCTTCATGCTGAAAATCATACACTTAATCTCGTAAGCTACTTGTTTTTTTACTTAATATAAATATTATAAGTTATAATGTACCTTGTATATTAAGAGTGAGATTGATTTCATGAGATCACCAACAACAATGAAATCCCCACGAGTTTGTACATAAAGAGCAAGAATGTGGCCATGGTGTCCACATTCGGATTGTAATTCGCGGGTCCCATCGTCACGGAGCATCCATTTGTAGAGCTGGATTTTTTGATTTATAGCAGCAAGGAGTTTTCCATTGAAAGCATTTAAAGAGTAAACAGCGCCTTTGGTTTCTTTCTCAGCTACTAGCTGTAGCTTCCTATCTTCAACCATAAACACCAATATACGCCCCTACAAAAAATAAATAGTTTAAGTGCTTGTAAAATGATAAAATGTTGGAATGTGATGATGTGTATGTACCTTTGTTGGCTCATTTTCCTCTGGCATAACATAAGCTGTCCCAACACAGTAATATGCATTATTATCATCTGAGAAAGAGCAATTCAAAATAGAACATCCATACTCAAATTGGTCAAGTGAGTAAGTTGATATGAAATCAAATGTTTGATCATCCAACAACCGGATAAAATGCATCTCAGAATCTTCTGTGCTTGATTGATTGTACTTCAAACTACATATTGCAAATGTCCGAGATTGTTCTTGATGACAGATGCGCCTTGCATGTTCTCCAAGAGGAATTGACCGAATATGAAGCTTCTGAATATCATCGATTGTGCCAATTGTCAACTCACCCTCTTTTGCAATAGCAAGACTGTTAAAGAAACAAAATAACCATGTTAAGATAATACAAAAACATAAAAACTAAAGAGAAAAGATAATCAATCAATCACCTGTCAGGAAAAGCAGCAGAGTTGAAAGGGCACATGTGACTGACTTCTTTCAGGTTCACATTGCTGTAGAGTAATTTTTTATTACTGCTGTATATAACTGTTGGTCTATCAGAGGCTGCAAAAACATGAGTTGTACTCTTTGATGAAAATGTCCTCAAAGTTATTGGTTGTGTCCCAAGTGACACCTTTTTCCTGTCTGTTAATTCCCCTGTGCTTGTGTTGAGTAAAAAGTTCAAAAGATGTCCATCTCCAAGTGCACACAACAAGTAAGGTATCTGTAATTAAACATTAAAAAAGTTATATACAAATTTGCCCTCATAGATGAAGATGAAGATGAGATGAGAATCATATTCATACCCCTTCAAAGGCACAAAGAAGAACAGAACGCGGTATTATTTCGCCACCTAGATGTTCTTCAGTGATGAGATTTAAATCGGGTAGTGAAAATATCTTGACACTAATATCAGTCCACATCCCAACTGCAGCAAGATTACTATAATTTGGATTTTCACCAATGGGGTTTATATCAAGACATGAGATATCATATTTCAGTTCTGCGTGCTTTTTTTCTACCAACACACCATCACCAATTTCAAGGTAAACCAGATGGCCACCTCTAGTAGCCAATAGCACCTGTTATGGAAATTAAAAAAAGATTAGTCAAACTTATTTATAAAAAGACCAAAATACCCTTGGTTATACCTGAGTAGCATTGGCAGTGGCGACATTTATAGAGTAGTCATTGGGAGCATGCCATTCGTTTCGTAGCTCTCCTGAACTTGAACTCACCAGTCTCACTGAGCTTGAAGTAACCTGAAAGAATGAAATTTTAATTAAATGGGGTATAAATATAATACCAAAAAATTTAGATAATTATACCTGAACAAGTTGATTATGGATAGCATCATGACAGAATAATGTTTGTACTTGAGAACAAAAACCTTCAATCTCAGTTTCCTCTAATTCATCCTCTAAATTCATTGCCAATATTCGTGTCTCACTGATGAAGCTAACAACCAAAAATGTGTCATAAATGTCGTCTGTTGCTGATCTTAGTGACCACATTCCTTTGATACCTTGTAGCTCCACAGAGGCCTAAAAATGGAGTTTTTTAAATAATCAAACTTAATAAAGTATTGGTGTATTACTAAAAAAAGATTTTCTTTAATCTTTACCTGTTCGTTTATCCCAATTCCATTTCTAACAATGCGAAGGGAACCATCTTTATATGCTCCTGAGCAAGTAACAACTTGCCCTTGACCTTGTCTCTCTAAGTCAACCACACAAAAGTCAACAATTGGACCCAAGTTGACATACCTTTCTAGAACTTCCACATAAGAGCCTTTTGGATCAGGTTGGAGATTCAACTTAATAAGCTGCAATAAGTAAAAAAATAAAATGTTAAATTACATTAGCATTTGACATTATTGATCTTGATATGATATTTTTATGTGATGAAAGTTTTTACATACCTGGGAATCTCCATAGCTTGAGCCAACATACACGAAAGCATTATCAAGATATGATATAGTTGATGCTATAGAAGTTTCCCCTAGAAGCTCAATTTTAAGTCCAGTAACTCTAAAACAATGAAGAGAAAGGGTGTCTTTTAGAACAATTGGGAACTCTATTTAATGGTATATATGACAAAAAGTAGAATTATAAGTTATAACTCACTTTTCTTTCTCATGGGCAATGACAAGCAAGTGAAGAAGGCCACTATGGTCACCAAGTAAATATCTGGAACCATCTGCATCCACCCTTCCATATGCTCTAGTAATAGACTACAATGCAAGTTCATGACACAATGCATCAGTTAAAAATGAAAATATGTTGCCATTTTGTATATTTAGCCTCAAATATTAACATCAAATGATTAAAAGAGAAGAAAAGAAAAGATTGTTTGAGTTACAGGTCTAATTGGTATTGCTTTAAAAGCAGAGGCACTGCAGTACACAATTGTCTCTTCCCCAATGATTAATACACCACAAAAAGGTGGTGGAACTGGTATCAGCAAATCAGCGCCATTATCAAGATTGTTCTGAGACCATGGACCTTCAACAAAGTCTTTATCTTTTAAAGAAACCTCATATGTTTTTACATGGCGAGCATCTTTGTTATCCTGAAACCAAGAGATAGAAAAGGTATTACATTTGTACCAAATTCTTTTTTTATTGTTATTTCTATCATTTAGGCAAGAAAAGAGAGCTCCCCAAAAGATTGAATATAAGAAGGAAGTAAATAATGAAACAACATGAAGGATTTGATTGCAAGTTAACCTGATAAAGAACAACAATTGTAGGCTTTGGACAACCATAGAGAAATTTGATATCCAAAACTTGAAGTTCTTCAAGCCTGATGTTGAAAGCTTCTTTGAGCTGTCCTTTGTTATCGAATGGAATGACCTGAAGAAAAGAGTAGTACTGGTTTCTAAGTGGACTTGAAAAGCTAAATAACCTCAAAAATCAAAAAGATATGCAAGCAAATACCTTGAATAATCCATCATACAGATGGAGTCCAATGAGTCTGCAGTCTGGGTCAATTATGCCTATCTACAAATATCAAACAAGTGGGAAGAAAGATAATACATTGCAAGATATACTCATATAAGTATGATTCAAACTCAATATGTACCTGGCCATTGTCTGTAGGTCTTCCTATTCGATCTGACACGTCACCCATTGCTCTATAAAGATCATAAACAAGTTTGTAAGATTCTGAATGTGTTTTTGAGAATAATATAACTTTGTTCTAGGTCCAAACCTTGTAAGAACCTCATTTGCATCAGCATCCCACTGAAGAACACAAAACTTGTATCTTTCTGTTGCAATAAACAGAAGGTCTTGTGTTTCACCCTTCAATAAAGCAAATATATACATAAAATCATGGTATGAATGATGCAAGAAAAAAAATGTTATAATATCTTTCTTTGAAAACTATGAATTAATTGACTCACGTGAGGTCTGAAAAGTTCTAGTGTTGCAATTCTTCCGTATATTGGCACATCCAACATAGGCTGCATAAAATCAAATTCAGAATTATATCATAGTTGCAGACATAAACTTTGGATGCACAGTGATTAGAGAAAAAAAAATGTATGTATAAATCCACCTGCAGGCCTTGAGGAGTAAGTAAATGAATCTCGATACGTGTACATTTCCTGGAACAAATGAAGGTGAACAAAAATGATTCATAAGATTATGCAATTCAGAAGTCCAATTTTACCAAAAAGTAATTGGGAAAAAAAGGTTGTGACATCAATTTCACACAATAAATTCCCAGCCTACATTCTCCCTCTTAATTTCCCAATGATAAACTTTGAATTGTTAGGTCAATCCCATTACTGATCAAATGGAAAACCAATACACATGTATTTATATACACATAGACACAAATATGTACAGATACACGTATTCTGTATATATTTAAACCTTGTTTTCAAAATTAACAGCAAATGGCTCCTTTCTTCCCACCATGTCTATTATCTCCTAGGTAATTGTTTGTTAGCGTACAGCTCCATATATCTCAGAGCAACTAAAGATGTTGACCGAAGCTCAGTATCACCTATAAAGGACTATAAATACTCGAGAGCAAACCTAGTTAAAAGAATATACTCCCCATGTCCCAATCTGAATTAATCTTCTACCATGATCTTTTTGCAAGTAAAACACGCTTGTCGTTTTTCAGCCTCTTAAGCAGTAATTACATCTTTTTCATGGAAATTTTCAACAGAACATTAACGAGAGCTCTAATATGATTAATTTTCCTCAAAGAATCATCAAGTTTCACACATAATAGCTCAATTTTCAGCGCCCAATCCATAACACGCAATCTTTAGCAGATTTTCATAACCACTACGAATTTCAACGAAATTTACGAGGTGAAACCCAAAATACAAAGAGGAAAACTTACGCGATAATAAGATTGAGTTCTTGAGGGCCAGTGAAATTGCCGACGCATGAATGAGTGACATTCGTTGGCTTGTGAGCCGTGACAACGTAATTATACGTACTCATCTCCCTTTACAGGACTGGAGATCTCTTGCTAAAATGGAACCCTAAAACCCTTTCTCTCTCCCTCCTCTTTTCTTCGATTTCTGCAAGCCAAACTAAGGTCGATGCTTACTTATTATTTCGCCGATGCGATGGTTCGTACGACGACGTTTTCGATCGCTAGTTAGGGGTTCACTCTGCCGCTAAAGAGTCGCTCTTCTAGATATAAATATGGCTAAAGGGCCCAACTCTTCTAGACCTAACCAGTAACCACACTGTTTTTTGATTTAGTCTTTATATTTATTTGACAAAATTGCAAAAATGTCTCTGTGGTATGCAAATTTTTGGGTTTTAGTCCAAACCATGACTTTTTTGGATTGGTGGTCATTTTGAGCTAGTTTCTTTGCGTTTTTAGTCCCTCGGTAAACTGAAAAGACTATTATGCCCTTCTGATATATTTTTTTTTATGTTTTTTCTATTTAATTTAAATGAAAAATAAAATAATTACCTAATTTGGGGCCTCTCTCTCTCTCTCTCTCTCTCTCTCTCTCTCTCTCTCT